AGCTGCTTCAGATGCTGATGCCCCTTCTGGAGAAGCCTAGAGGTGGTCTTCCGCCTGGACGGGCTACGCGATCAAGCTATTTTCTGGAATTTCACTATGGGGGTAGTCAAGACTTTGATTAGAAGTTTCCGAATCCTTCGCCTCGGAGCCCATCACTAACCCCCATTAAACCCCCATATTGCACGCTGAATGTGGCCTCCTCGCGGCGGACATGTTCAACGATGTCTTAGTCAGAGCTTACGCGACGTTCGAGTTCGACTGATTTTCGGCTCGGAATCTAGGAGTGTACCTAGGCTTATACGTAGACGACCAGACGGTGTCATAGTGACAAAGAACCAGCATTCTCCGACCTCCGCAAAGGTGCACCAAATCTCAAGCAAGCTTTTCACAAGACTGAAAGTCGACTAGCAGAAAATACGACAATGTCTTTCGCGTCGTCGGTAACAATGGCCAAGAGGCTAGCACGCATGATAGCCCAAATTGCTCTGCAACAACCACCAACGCGACCATATCGCTGGGAGTGGATGCTGCACCTGGCCAGGGAATGAGGAATCCGTGCTCGACGGCGAGAGCGTTTTCATCAGATGAAAGCTCGCGAACGCACGCTGCAGTATTATCGTGCTAAGTAGCTCAGATACAAAGCCCCCCCGAACAAGATCTATGCTGCTGGAGTGCGACCAGCGGCGCCCTTCGGAGCGATGGCCGACCGCCATTGGCAGAGCCTCACGGAGCCCTCAGCTGGACACATCTCTCTCGAGGAGCACAGCCGCAGCTGGACGCCTGTGGCGTCGCCCTCTCCCGAGCCGAGCCCTCGCTGCTGGAGCCGGTCCCGAGGCCCTGTGCCTCGGATGCTTCTCTCACCCCTCCAAATCCGGTGGCACCCGGGTAACGTTCATGTGTGAGGAGATGACAGCGACGTTGTCCCTGACCTCATGTATACCCCTCCCGTTCTGGTAGGGATGTCTTGGTCCCGAGATCCCGTGAGATCATCTGATAAGAAATTCGCATCCGATCTGCCAGGTTTCACGGGGGAGCGTGTGCGCGCTGATCCCGCAAGACGAGTGCGAGACAACAGTGCTGGCTCTCTGCGTGATTATGTTAAGCCTGCTGGACACGGGATCGGCTGCGGGATAAAGGGGGGACTTGTGCGACGGGGACTGTCCTCTGCGTGGCCAGCCAGACTCACCTCGTCCACAAGCAGTGGCTATGCGAGGCCAGGGAAGCCAGCCAGTTGCGAATCGAGTGCGTGGGTGAGGACACGGTCCAAGAAGCTCGCAGCAAGCTAGAGGATGACCCCCCTTTTTTGGCAACGCGGGTTAATTACCCAGCCCGTGGATTTCCCCTCCCTCTCTTGGACCTAGACCCCGTCCTTCAGGATGACGTGAACCAGGTGATAGATATCGCGCATTTCCTTGATCTGATTTGCGGGTGTGATGTGGTGGTGGATTGGTCAGCCACCCAGCTCACCTTCCGCAAATGCAACTGAGCAACATGCGCAGTCGTCGTCCTAGCACCAGGCGGGAAATACGTTGCCAAGGCTCGCGTGCTCGGTGCGGTGTGGCCCCATGTGTTTCAGACTCGCCAGGCAGCAGAGCACCTCGGGATTGCCACACTCGGTGCTTAGATTGACTCCACCCCCAGCGACCCACATCATGATTGCCTTGGGGCGGTCATTCTTCACAACGCGAGTCGTAAGGAACATCTATGTCCCAAACAAGTGTTTGCGGGTCTGAGGCGTTTGGCCAAGAAGAAGGACCATGTGGGCTCCTCCAGGAGGCCCAATACACCCCTGCCCATAGCTCTGAGGGAGAGGGAATTATCTAGGCTTTGCCAATTTTGGAGGGTAGGATTGCGAGGTAATCAAGACGCTGACAGGCGTGCCAAGCATGCTCCTTCTCTTTTTGCACCCATGAGCCCCTCCAGCTGTTCTCGAAGCCCTGGATCAATCCCCAGGACGAAGACAAGACGAAAGTTTTTCCTCTTGGGCCCAGAACGACGGTTTGAAGTCTTGAGCACTCGCGTATGAGATAACCGCCGTCGGATCCCATGAAGGTCGAGCGGATCCATGTCGGTGGATCCGATTTCCGTCCGCGCGGATCCGATTTCGAATTTTCTGGTTCCGCGTCTGGCCTTATTTGTTACGGCGGATCCGACTTCTCCCCCGTTTCATTACATTTATACTATAAAAATACTAACAAGGAACTGGGCGAAATCGGATCCGCGGAACCCACACCCCTCCCATGCTAAGACTCTGCCGGCGAAGGGGGTTCGGCCATCACGGTCCCAGGACGGGTCCTGTGCTGTCTCGTGCGCTCCCGTCAGCTTTCCGCGCGCAGGGGCCCCACTCGACATGAATGCATCTCTCTCCTCCTGGACGAGCTGCACGCAGCTCGTCCAGACGCCGGCCGTTCGGTGGCGCCGATGTGATCTGTCGAACTCCTCATCGCTGTTTCAAAAGATCTTTCGTCCTGCGTAAGTAACCTGCGAGTCAACTCAGGAAATTCGCTAAGATGGCTTCGGCTGCTCTCCCCTGCCAACCCCGAAAAAACAACCGGTAAAGAACCGAACTCTATACGCGGACGATCTTTCCGGCCCCGCTCTGAACTTCGCACAAGAGAACGGATCCTGGTGTATACGGGA